AGTGGACAGTGTACGACCTGTAAATAAAATAGGGAACACTAAACAGTACACTGAGTCGGGTTGAAAACTCCAGCCTGCAACACAACTCATCAATGGTTAATGACACTGGCACACAGCCCAATCGCGCGGTCAGTGGTGCTTGTGCATCAAAGCTCTCGCCTTCAAAGTGTAGTCACCTAGTTTCCCAACTAATTGGCTGCATGCCCCTTACCCCGGCTTTTCGGTGATCGAAACTGTAATGGTATATCACCAATGTACCCATGGCGTGTGATATCGACTTTTTCTGCAACGTCACCAAGGCATTGACTGACCGTCCCTGCATCACATCCATCCAATACAAGACTGGGCTCTATTAGTATAAGTTAGATGTGAGTCACAGGAAAAACGATTCAAGAAAATCTTGACTCAGCTCAATTATCTACAATAATGTGACTAATATTGACGAGGAGAAAAGAGATGATACTGAGCAGGAACAATACAATTTTACATGTGTTACAAGGTCACTGGTCTTTCAGCATACGAAGTGCATAGCCTAACCAGCGTAACCTGCGGAGTTGGACCAGTTGATCTATCGACGGAGAGTCAACTTTCTCGGAGGCCATATGGCGTACTCCTCCATAGCTGATCTGATGTTGCCAGGCCCATGCAATGTTTCGGACGAGCCTATAGTCGAACACAGCGAGTCTCCGAAGATGGTCTGCGCACAACAACCACACCTCTGATCCATAAATCAAAACAACTCGTATTGTGGCATTGTACATCCCTCCTCGATAGCCAGACCGACATACGTCGGCGCCAGTAATGTTGTAGGTTGGCAAACACTTTCCTGGCCCTCCCAATCCGGAAGCGATTTCGCCTCTCACCAATTCGCCGAGATTTACACAATTGTTCAGATGGACAAACTCTACCACCACATTGATCAGTTCACCTGCTAACATGGGGTTTGATTCTGATGCCACCCATTCTTGCAATAACCCTTACGGCTGTGAATCGCATACCGAAATGTACGGAAGAACTGTTCGTAACAGTCTGTATTTCCAAAGGGTGTGATCCAATGACACCAATAAAGTCATTGCACTCAATAACTATAAGCAAACTCCCTGGTAGTATTTTGACTCCCCGGATGTTAGAAGCAGGTAAAGTAGACTAAGGCAGCACATAGACAGAAACATCATTGTTGCCACTCTCGCTTTGCTGCCGTACAACCGAAAAGTTTATCAAATTGTGCTTAAAGCCTTGGAATGAAGAGAAGGCGAAAACGTTAGTGATGGAGGGGTCCTAGTGTTGGCGTATCCCAAGCATTCTGATGCGCCTAAGCCTCTAGGAGCTCAGTCGGGTAATCTGGGAACGAACGCCACTGATATCGATCAACCGTCATTGCTTACCCTGTCTCTAATGGAGCACAGGAGAGGTCACGTGGGCCCAATCCTACAAGGCCAACTGCACCGAAAACACAAACGTTTCCTGATTTCTTTCACGTTCATGTACCAAGCTGAAAGTTGTCCGCCTCATGGCTTGCGCCATTCTGAAGGAGACACGGAAAACAACACTAGTCCCGGTAGACAGTGTTTTGGCATGCATCCCACATGATCGACCCACCGCAGCCGATGGTGCTCAACGTTTTCTGAGACTAAAGTACCTACTGCATAAGCAAGTACCCTTTTTGTCATTTCTTCGTTACGAATTCCTTGACGATATCTGACACCAACAACGCTTCTGAGGCATCGGTGGTATGCCCATTTAACGCCCCAAGTGACGCGCAGTAACAAACGTGATTAGGGCCTTTAAGGTTCGTGCACTGACTTCATCGGACACAGTTGTCAGAGCTGGTACGCCTACGGAGGTATAGATAATTCTCCACAACCTCCAACAATTCCATTTGATTTGTAAGGGGTATGTTAGAGATTGCACGTGCCGAAGCAGGACTTCGCACTTTGAAGGTGCAACGTACATGCCGAAAGATAGTATAATGGTGTTTAGCTTATTCAACAGTGCTTGTGCTTCGTCTTCGTCTTCAAAGATGAGGACGATGTCGTCCGCGTACACCACGTTGACAAGGTTCTCACCAGCAGTGATTTGAACACCTCCCGGTGTTCGCCCCATTGTTTCATCGGTGAGGAAGTTGAATAAGAATGGAGAGAGCGCACATCCTTGTCGGACGCCACTTTTTGTAAGGAAACTTCTGGAGAGCCCACTATATACTCACATGCCCAGAAGCATGTGAATATAGAGACCGATTTATGTTCACAAACTTCAGGGACATACCCTGTTGAGCAAGTGTGTTAACAACACTGACCGATCGACAGAATCTAACATACCCTTGAAGTGAAGGAATACCAATATTGTGGATCATCTGTACATGTGGCGTTGCTCTAACACCGAACGGAGTGTGGAGATGTGGTAGACGCAGTCCCTATCCGCTCGGAATCCCGCTTGATGCTCATGGGTCAAGGGCTCGCGTGTAGCTGTAAGACGCCGAAGAATTAGTAATGCCAGAAGCCTTGTTACAATGGGAGTCAAACTGACACCTCTGTTGTTACCACCTCCCTTACACTTTTACGTTTTCCGTCTTTCACCCTCCCCCGCCCAAATTTGAATACTTTCTCCGCAGGTCCCAGCTCTATGGCTGATCGTTTTGCTCGCCCTGCATCACACTCAGCCGCAGCTTCTGCACGTCCGAGTTCAGTTACAACCCTAAACACTTCGAAGTCTGTTTTCAAACTCCGAAAGCCTGTCTACTTAGCCACTTTCAATGTTCACACACCGAAGCAAGGAGGTCAACAGGTGGCTCTTGCTAGTACGCTGGATTCTCTCTGTATTGATGTGTGTTGTCTGTCAGAAACAAGGACGCAAGTACTGTGATCGAACTGACTACCCCTCACTCTCTTCCAGATTGCGGCTACGCACCTCTGGTGATGCAGAGGCCGCTGCATCTGGGTATGCTGGGGGGTATTGTATTGAGCAAACGAGCGGAAGCGTCTTTGCTTGATTGGATGCCCGTTGATAGTCGCCTCTGTGCGGTTCGTTTGGCAACATCTGTGAGAGAGTCTAGAGAAAATGAGGTTCATCGCACCCTGTTTATTGTGTCTGCATACGCCCCAACTGACTGTAGCTCTGAATCTGCCAAGGACAGTTTCAATGACGCTCTAGGTGCCCTTCTACAACAGGCTAAAAGCTCACATATCGTTGTGGTTGCTAGTGATATGAACGCCCAGGTAGGCAGACTAAGCGCTGCTGAGGCCCGATTGGGTGGAGATCTTAGTTTGGATACGAGACGCAGGAACAACGGAGACCGCTTACTTCAGATGTGTACCGATCACTGACTGCTCCTTTACAGTACGAATTTCCGGAACAGCGGAAATCGCTTGATAACGTGGTACGCACCAAAAAACCATCGCCGAATCCAAATAGGCCATATCGGCGTCAGTTATCAGTGGCGAGGGGCGATCACCGCCGCTCGCTCCTTATGGAACACTAGCGTGGACTCCGACCACACGCTTGTACGCTGCTGCTTTTCATAGCGCTTTTCAGGCAAAACACAGCTCGCTTGCGAGGGTCGATCACCGCCAGCCGCTCCTTATGGAACACTAGCGTGGACTCCGACCACACGCTTGTACGCTGCTGCTTTTCATAGCGCTTTTCAGGCAAAACGCGCACAGCTCGCTTAGCCATTGAGAAACTAGTGAATTCAGAAGTCAAACGAAACTATCAGAACCAGCTCCTTGAATACCTTCCGGACGGTATGGTGTCAGATATAAACGGCCGCAGGGAAAAAGTATCCATGGTGCAACTCAGAGCCGAAACGTCTGCATGCGGTACAACCCAGCCAACCTCATCCAAGCATAGGATCTGTGATAGGACCGTGTCCTTGCTGGAGACCCGGCGACAGATTCCACCTCGCCGCAACCACAACTCCACCCGGCGCATCATCGGACGCCAGGTGAAAGTGAGTGTCCGCGCAGACCGAGAAGCTTGGTAGACCCGAAAGGCCGAAGAAATGGAGGATGCAAAGAATGCTGGAAACGTGCGCAAACTGTTCCACTTGATTCTTTTGACTGGTCCTCGGAAACCTCTTGTCAGAGAAATAATCAGGGACCAAAATAGCTCCCTAATATGTAGCAAAGCAGAACGTTTGGACTGCTGGGCACGGTACTTCGCGCACCAGTTCAGCTGGTCATCTGCTACCTCACTGACGGGCCCGTGTCTGTGCTGGAGACCGAGTGACAGATTCCACCTGGCCATCACCACAACTCCACCCGGCGCATCATCGGACGCCAGGTGAAAGTGAGTGTCCGCGCAGACCGAGAAGCTTGGTAGACCCGAAAGGCCGAAGAAATGGAGGATGCAAAGAATGCTGGAAACGTGCGCAAACTGTTCCACTTGATTCTTTTGACTGGTCCTCGGAAACCTCTTGTCAGAGAAATAATCAGGGACCAAAATAGCTCCCTAATATGTAGCAAAGCAGAACGTTTGGACTGCTGGGCACGGTACTTCGCGCACCAGTTCAGCTGGTCATCTGCTACCTCAAATCCAGAAACCTGGCGTTCAACAGAAAGGTGGACCGTAAATATGGAACCGCCTTCAGTCTCAGAAGTATCCAGATGTATTTCTCTACTCAAGTGTCTTCATGCTGCTGATCCTGACGACCTTCCACCTGCATTTTTTAAGGATGGCGGTGGATTCCTCAGCCAGTGCCTGTCTACCCTTTTTGGGCCTACCTGGGAGAAGCAGACCGTCCCGGACAACTGGGGTGAATCAATAGTGGTGCCCATTTTCAAAAAGGGTACTCGCAGTGAATGTAGTAACAACAGAGGTGTTAGTTTGATGCCTGTTGTGACAAAGCTTCTGGCGTCACTGACGGGCCCGTGTCTGTGCTGGAGACCGAGTGACAGATTCCACCTGGCCATCACCACAACTCCACCCGGCGCATCATCGGACGCCAGGTGAAAGTGAGTGTCCGCGCAGACCGAGAAGCTTGGTAGACCCGAAAGGCCGAAGAAATGGAGGATGCAAAGAATGCTGGAAACGTGCGCAAACTGTTCCACTTGATTCTTTTGACTGGTCCTCGGAAACCTCTTGTCAGAGAAATAATCAGGGACCAAAATAGCTCCCTAATATGTAGCAAAGCAGAACGTTTGGACTGCTGGGCACGGTACTTCGCGCACCAGTTCAGCTGGTCATCTGCTACCTCAAATCCAGAAACCTGGCGTTCAACAGAAAGGTGGACCGTAAATATGGAACCACCTTCAGTCTCAGAAGTATCCAGATGTATTTCTCTACTCAAGTGTCTTCATGCTGCTGATCCTGACGACCTTCCACCTGCATTTTTTAAGGATGGCGGTGGATTCCTCAGCCAGTGCCTGTCTACCCTTTTTGGGCCTACCTGGGAGAAGCAGACCGTCCCGGACAACTGGGGTGAATCAATAGTGGTGCCCATTTTCAAAAAGGGTACTCGCAGTGAATGTAGTAACAACAGAGGTGTTAGTTTGATGCCTGTTGTGACAAAGCTTCTGGCGTCACTGATTCTTCGTCGTCTTACGGTGGCACGCGAAGCCTTGACTCGTGAGAATCAAGCGGGATTTCGACCAGGTAGAGGCTGTGTTGACCACATCTTCACAATCCGTCAGGTGCTAAAGTAACGCCACATGTACAGACGGCCCACAATCCTGGTATTCCTTGACTTCAAGGGTGAGTTTTAGTCCGTTGATCGATCAGTGCTACAATTGCCCAACAGGGTATACCCCAGAAGTTTGCAAACATAATCTGATCCTTATATTCACATACTTCTGGGCGGGTGAGGGCGTTTGGTGAGCTCCCAAAAGCTTCCCTACAAAAAGTGGTGTCAGACAAGGATATCCATTCCCTCCATTCTTGTTCAACTTTGTCATCGATGAGATAATGAGGCGAACACTGGACGGTCTTCAAAACCCCGGTATTCAAATTGTTGCTGATGAGAGCCTTGTCGATCTGGAGTACGCAGATGACATCGTCCTCATCTTTGAAGACCAAAGCGAAGCACAAGCCCTATCGGATAAACTGACCACCATCATACAATCTTTTGGCATGCGTCTTTCACCTTCAAGGTGCAAATTCATGCTTCAGAACGTGCCATCTGCGAACATATCCCTTACACTTCAAGGAGAATCAATGGAGATTGTGGAAAAAGTTATATACCGCGGTAGTTGTATTAACTCTGACGGAAGTGTGTCTGAATTCAATGCAAGAATCTCAAAGGTTCGAATCGCGTTTGCTAATTTGCATCAGTTGGGGCGTCAAAAAGGCATTTCACTAGATTTTAGGGGTCGTGTGTACCAGGCTACAGTAAGGGCTGTGTTGTTGTATGGGTGCGAGACATGGCCTCTACGGGGGCCTCTTCAGGTTTTCGACCACCGATGCGTGGTGACTTTGGACGGCGTCAGCGTGTTAGTAACAAGGTGAGTAAAAAACGGGTATCTGGTTGTGCTGCAGGCACCTCAATCCGAGAAAGTATCCAGCATCATCGAATACGATGGCTCGGTCATGTGCTACGCATGCGGAAACACCGTCTGCTGAGTCGAGTGTTATTCTCTGCGCCTCCTTCGAGATGGCGCAAACCGCGAGGTGAATAGCGCATGACTTGGCAGAAAGGCGTGAAAGAGATCACGAAGAGTTTGGTGTTGTACGCCTTCAGGGATGGGGTCCCTTTGACCCTGTCTGTGCTTGGCTATAGACACTGCCAATCGCGGCGGCTAATCGATGTCAGTGGCGTTCGTGCTGTCAGTTTTTTCCAGATTGTCTGACTGAGCAGTTGGAGATGCAGGCACCTCAGAATGCTTGACATAGGCCAGCACTAGGTCCCTCCCTCACTCTTTTTCTCTTATATGACTAAACGAACCTTACGGTTGTACGGCAGTGAAGCATCAGTGCTAACAATGATATTGCTTTGAGGATGATGACGATGTTGTTACCACACTCACTGCGGCTACAAAGTTAAAGAGCAATGGTGACAGACTATAACCACACCTGACAGGGTTGGATTAAGTAAACTCAGGAGGGAATTCGCCGTAGATACGCATGAATGTACGGGAGGAGGTATACAGAGTCTTTATAAAAGATAAGAATATATATGGGATGCCCTTCACCGCAAGATACTCTCACAGTTGCTGAAAATCAACGGAGTCATAACCGAATCTGGGCTCCAGTAAGATGGTCACTGTTGGACGTCGGAAGGAATGGCGTAGTTCCAGTGATTGTCGTAAATGGAATATATAATCGATGCAACCCAGGGCAAAACCCGACTTGGGGCGAGATGGCTCAGTTGTTAGGGCGCGACTGACCGCAAGGTCCGTTGTTCGAACCCGACTTCCGCCTCTCAATTTCCCCTGTCGAGGCTTGGGTAATCTGACATTATCCCAGCCCTCGCACTTCCTTCGGGTGGCATGGCAGTTAGGCTGAACGAACGATTCACATTGTGTAGCTTGGAGGCCGCCAACCGAAAACCAGTCGTAGACTCGGTTGGACAGTATGGTGATCAGCTACCGGTGAAGTGCCCCGACAACAGATTATCGTTCATCTTAGAGTGTACCTCCAGACTCCAATCATGGCATTGTGTGGGAGTGTGCATCTATCCGCGTATCTATTCCTCTCTGAAACACGCCAGTTGATGCAAAGCTACCCAAGAGTCTAACCCACTTGTTGGCAGAAGGCTGGCCTGGATCGAGGATGCAAGGAGTAAGACATAATAATTACACTCCTAATGCGACTTCTCACAGCAAGTGCCTTTCAGTAGCATGAGAGTGTTTGGGTTTAAAAGTACTTCGACAGCACTGAATAATGCGCCGGCGCTCAGGGTTAACTGTTGGGTGGTTGAAGTGTGGTCTTTAGGGCCGACCTTTTTTAACCCGTCCTTCCTCGAGGAAGGCAGCATCGCTTTTTTCCATAAATGAAGATATGCTGGTTGCCTGAAGGGAACACCTTACTTCCTTCACACTCCTATCGAAGCGGACAGTACGACTTTCTCTCCAAGCCGCTTCATAGTGCGATTTTTTGTAGTACGGGGACTCGCTTTTCTCTGTTTGGCTGCTATGCATAGGCCACTTTGGTATAATTGAGGATTGAGAAACTGAGTTCTAGATGGCTCAGTGGTCATAGCACGAATTCACTGACTGGAAGTTTCGCGGTTCGAACCCGAAATCTGCCTCTCGACTTCCCTTGTCTAGGTTTGGGCAACTTGGCAGTATCCCAAACCTCGTGCTTCCTTCTGGTGTGCATGGCAGTTAGGCACCGGAAAAGTACTACAGCTAGGCAATTTTTCTAAAGGGCGTTCATCACCGCTGCACTTAGGTGGTATCGGACAGTCATAGTTTAGAGTGACTACGCTGGCGACAAACCAGTCCACATTCTGCCCAGATGTATCCACCCGTAATTTGCACAGATCTAAATGGCTGTTGTACTGGACAATTTACTATCGCTTCGAATGACGCGCTTGCATTTGAGGATTGAGATGCGTTGCACATCAGCGCTCCTCAAGCTTTTGGACATGGAACTGAGTGTCCGTGCAGACCGAAAAGTTTGTTGGATCCGAAAGACCGAAGAAATGAATGATGTGAAAATGCTGGAAGCGGCTGCAAATTGTTCCACTTGGTTGGTTCGATTGGTTCGCAGTTTCCTGTTCGTGAGACTAACATGGACCAAAATCGCTCACTGATATTCAACAAGGAAGAATGCCAGTCTTCAACAGAAAGGTGGACTGTGGACATGGAGTGCCCCTCAGCCTGCGAAGTGTCCGAGTGTATGTCTCTACTCAAGGACCCAACGAAATTCCACCTACTCTGTTCAATGCAGTCACTTCTGTTTGTCTGCAAAAAAACAAATCGTCCCAGACAACTGGAGTGAGTCGACAATAGTGCTCACTTTCCAAAAGGGTATTCGCATTATGTGTGGTAACAACAGAAGTCAGAACCGCACAGAGGCGACTATCAACGGGCATCCAATCAAGCAAAGACGCTTCCGCTCGTTTGCTCAATACAATACCCCCCAGCATACCCAGATGCAGCGGCCTCTGCATCACCAGAGGTGCGTAGCCGCAATCTGGAAGAGAGTGAGGGGTAGTCAGTTCGATCACAGTACTTGCGTCCTTGTTTCTGACAGACAACACACATCAATACAGAGAGAATCCAGCGTACTAGCAAGAGCCACCTGTTGACCTCCTTGCTTCGGTGTGTGAACATTGAAGGTGGCTAAGTAGACAGGCTTTCGGAGTTTGAAAACAGACTTCGAAGTGTTTAGGGTTGTAACTGAACTCGGACGTGCAGAAGCTGCGGCTGAGTGTGATGCAGGGCGAGCAAAACGATCAGCCATAGAGCTGGGACCTGCGGAGAAAGTATTCAAATTTGGGCGGGGGAGGGTGAAAGACGGAAAACGTAAAAGTGTAAGGGAGGTGGTAACAACAGAGGTGTCAGTTTGACTCCCATTGTAACAAGGCTTCTGGCATTACTAATTCTTCGGCGTCTTACAGCTACACGCGAGCCCTTGACCCATGAGCATCAAGCGGGATTCCGAGCGGATAGGGACTGCGTCTACCACATCTCCACACTCCGTTCGGTGTTAGAGCAACGCCACATGTACAGATGATCCACAATATTGGTATTCCTTCACTTCAAGGGTATGTTAGATTCTGTCGATCGGTCAGTGTTGTTAACACACTTGCTCAACAGGGTATGTCCCTGAAGTTTGTGAACATAAATCGGTCTCTATATTCACATGCTTCTGGGCATGTGAGTATATAGTGGGCTCTCCAGAAGTTTCCTTACAAAAAGTGGCGTCCGACAAGGATGTGCGCTCTCTCCATTCTTATTCAACTTCCTCACCGATGAAACAATGGGGCGAACACCGGGAGGTGTTCAAATCACTGCTGGTGAGAACCTTGTCAACGTGGTGTACGCGGACGACATCGTCCTCATCTTTGAAGACGAAGACGAAGCACAAGCACTGTTGAATAAGCTAAACACCATTATACTATCTTTCGGCATGTACGTTGCACCTTCAAAGTGCGAAGTCCTGCTTCGGCACGTGCAATCTCTAACATACCCCTTACAAATCAAATGGAATTGTTGGAGGTTGTGGAGAATTATCTATACCTCCGTAGGCGTACCAGCTCTGACAACTGTGTCCGATGAAGTCAGTGCACGAACCTTAAAGGCCCTAATCACGTTTGTTACTGCGCGTCACTTGGGTCGTCGAAATGATACATCACCTGATCTCAGTGGTCGGGTGTGCCAGGCTACAGCAAAGGCTGTATTGCTGTATAGTTACCCGATATGATCCCGGTGAACCGTTGATGTTTGTGACCACTGATGTATCAGATGCCCTGCCGGTGTCGGATAGCGTCAACGAATTCGTAATAAGGTAATTAGAAAGCGGGTGCTTGTTTATGCAGGAGGTACTTCAGTCTCGGAAATCATCCAGCTCCATCCGGTTCTGTGGCTCACGTATTGCTACGCATAACGAATCACCTTTTGGCGAGTCTAATGTGGTTTTCTGTTCTTAATTTAGAATGGAACAAATTGCTTGGTGGCAAGGTGTAACTCGACAGAATGATAGGTAAGAGAATACTAATTCGGGTGTTGTTGGTGGCGTCCGCTTTCCAGGATGGGGTTCCCGTGTCTCGTCGTGGGCCTGGTTGAAGAAGTTGCAGGAATCAAAGGCTTCAGTGACGTTCGTGTCGTCAACTTCCCCCAACTTGTCTGACTGAACGCTTGGTATTGTAGGTGCCTCAAAATGGTTCCAGCATAGATATGATCCCGGTGAACCGTTGATGTTTGTGACCACTGATGTATCAGATGCCCTGCCGGTGTCGGATAGCGTCAACGAATTCGTAATAAGGTAATTAGAAAGCGGGTGCTTGTTTATGCAGGAGGTACTTCAGTCTCGGAAATCATCCAGCTCCATCCGGTTCTGTGGCTCACGTATTGCTACGCATAACGAATCACCTTTTGGCGAGTCTAATGTGGTTTTCTGTTCTTAATTTAGAATGGAACAAATTGCTTGGTGGCAAGGTGTAACTCGACAGAATGATAGGTAAGAGAATACTAATTCGGGTGTTGTTGGTGGCGTCCGCTTTCCAGGATGGGGTTCCCGTGTCTCGTCGTGGGCCTGGTTGAAGAAGTTGCAGGAATCAAAGGCTTCAGTGACGTTCGTGTCGTCAACTTCCCCTCAAAGTGGTTCCAGCATGTAGGTACCTAGTCTCTCCCTCTTCAGCTGTTTGCTTTTTTCACTCAGGTTTAAAATAACTAACTACGCGGTGCTTAGCTATGTGAGCTTCCTTTCTGTTTGGCGATGCAGCGTCATTATCAGCACGCATGTCGTCGTCTGTGACAATGGTGTTGGATTTCGGAATGTGTGGTCTTTAGGGCGGAGTTTTCCTGACCCCTCCTTACTCAACTTTAAGTGGTATCGTTGCTTTCATTCATATTTAGATACTGGTCTCCTGGGGTTGCACTTCTTTGTCCCCATACGTCTGCCGCAACAATCAGTGTGCCTGCACCCCCTGACTGTCTCGTGCTACAGTTTCTTGTAGTACGACTGCACTGGCTGCTCTCTGTTACCCTTTCTGTCATGTTGGAGCGGGGTTCCACCCAGTGTAGTCCTCAGGACATTTTTATGGCTGCAACCCGACGATTATGACAAGGCAGTGGCTTTTCCTCATACGTTTATTTTAGGGGCTTTGTTTTAAGAGAAATCGCTGATCTAAAAAGTTTTTTCTGTCTTTTTTTAATCTTTTAGCTCAACCAGCCATTCCAACGGCCAGACGCGCAATTGTTAGCTGACTGCAACATTCGCAGCCATGATGAATTGTTGACGTCCTTACACGTCCCGTCGAACCACATTTTATTAAAGGCCAAATCTCTGTCAGCGCCCACACCTACGCACCAACCATGGATGTTTCGTTGGTATCGCGTGCTTTAGATGCCCTGTTGAGTTCTCTGAAAAGGGATAAAAAGGTGCCGATATTCCTCATTTTTACTGCTTCCTTTCAGGCAAAACTGGCTGTGCTTCTTCATGCGCTGCAGTCCCAAAAAAATCGGTTTGCTCTAAGTCACAACGATGAACTACGTCACAAGGATGAAAGTTGTCATTTTTTCGGCTGGGGTGCCTTGTTTTCGGTTTGCTTATTTCGTCCCCTAATGGATCACTATATATAGGGCCTTCTCAGTGCCATTATGGATGAAATACGTGCATGTAGCAGAAGCGTACATGGTGACCAGAAGTCAATTTCCGAACTCTCCACCTACTTCAAGCTAATCAACATTGTACTAACACATGCTTGTAATGGTAAGTGACGGTATTTCTTCTAGCCACGTCATTAGGTAACCATCCTTTGGAAATTGATGATATGGTGCGCTCTTTTTTGCACTGTATGAAGGATTCAGGATGTGTCGAAATCCAACAACACTTTTTCTCATCAATTCAGACACTTTTTCGACATTCTACTCCTCAGTCGCTGAAAATGGACTACTCCCTTTGGGATGGTGTGTTGATTTTCCAACCAATTGGTCTATCGTTCATCCTCATTAGATCTGATTCTTTGGAGTTGTGGTGATCTTAAAGGCAATGGTGTCCACAGCTCGGCCTACTTGTTGTGTTTGCTTATCTCCCAAGGTTCTTCGACGTCCATGCTGCCTTTGATGCATATTTTTGATGCTCTTGTTACTTTTCTCAGAAGGTGAGGCCTCTGATACATGCATGTGCTTCTCTTTCTTAACTATGTGTTTACAACCATCTGTGTTTTGTCCGATTGCACGGAGTTAAACAAACTCTTCCTCGCTGACTTCCAACACATAAAGCTGGCTAATGCATGTTTTTCAACGTCCGTTCTGGACAACAGTAAAAAACCTTATTTCAACGATTCTGTTTTTTATCAACAAAAATGCGACTTTCAGTAAGTTAATAGAACAATTTTATTAGCGCATAGCTAGCATTCTCTGGATAAGAGCAGTCAGTGCTTTGTTTGAGAAAGTTTTCAACGAGCTTCATTAGGACAGTCCGTTTTAACATTTAATTGGGTTTAGTTACGCTGATGCACCTAATAACTGATGAGCGATTGACTGGAATTGTTTGGAAACCATTGTAATTCGCACTTTGCACTGAGAGGAAACTTGTCAAATATTCACCAGCTCTTCCGCTTTTTCATTCAGACTTCGATAGCAGTTTAAGTTCTATTTTGCTTTTGAGTGTCGTCCACTGTTTTTTAATCTTCCTTTATTCGCCTTCTAGTTCTGGTTTTTGTCAGGTCGCTGTTTACTTTGGCTATTCCACTCATCGTCGTTATCATCGTCATAAACAGCAGCATCAGTGATGACCGCCGTACGACCACTGAGTTAGAATGTTTATGTTTAAAGCCTTAGAGTGAAAAGAAAGGGGCATGAGGGAGGGAACCTGATGCTGGCATATCGCAACCATTCTGAGGCGCCCCCACCTCAAAACGTTCAATCAGACAATCCGGAAAGAAATTGACAGCACGAACGCCACTGACGTCGATGAACCGCCGTTTCTTAGTGTTTCCAGCCAAGCATAAGAGGTCATGGAACGCCATCTTGGAAGGCGTACCGCATCAACAATACTAAACCATTCGTCATCTCTTTTACACCCTTCTACCAAGTTGCCCTGTCCACCTCAGAGCTTGCGACATTCTAAAGAAGCCACGGAGAACAAAGCTAGTCGCGGTAGACGGTGTTTCGGCGTGCGTATTACATGAACGAGCCACAGCAATCGACGGTGCTGGATATTTTCTACGACTGAAGCACGTGCTGCACAACCGAATACCCGTTTTCCAACCGCTACCCACTAGGAATTCGTTGACGTCATTCGACACCGGCAACATTTCTGAGTCATCAGTAGTCATCGGTACCCGAAGGCGAGTAACATTATCTGTCCGCGGAAGCCACAATACAGCGCACACGGTTTTAGGTCCGTTTTCGATGGGTCCATTCCTGGTTTGTGTTGCGTTACAGTCTTTTTTTCATGAAGTTGATTCATCCTGACGGCGATTTCTCTTTCTGGTAGTTTACTTCTCTCAGTCTGATTTGTCCATTCTTAGTTTGCATCGTCGTCTCATCTTGAGTTTTAGTAGCTGGTTTTTACTTCCCCGTTTGTTGTTTTCTTTCCTTTTCTCGTGTTGGTCGGTTTATTTATGCTTGGATAGCCAATTTGCTACTCCCTTTGTTAAGTCGTTTTTTATCCTTTGATTTATTGGCTTGGTGCAAGTACAGGAAAGCGAATCAATTTTATCGATTTTTGTTTTGGTTTGCTTAAGAACGGTACAATCATATTGAAGGGAGGAAACCGCCGAAAATAGAAATCGCCATCACAATTAACTAAGGTGTTCGAAGAAAGACCACTAACAACTCAAACCTGGAATGAACCAATCGAAAACGGGCCTAAAAGACCCCCAAAGGAGCTATCCAACAAACCAATGGAGGTGCAAATCGCTAACGGGCTAATAATGTTACAAGGAAGTTGTATGCCAATTAGCCAGCCACATGCGGGGATATTAAATACTCCCCGAAAACTTTCTAAACGCAGCCAGGAATGGAGGAAGCACTCAGTCAACTGCGAACTACCGATTTCTCCTCGACTGGGGACGAAACTTTCGCAAGCCAGTTGCCAGTCTCGGCGAACAGATCTACGGCTATCTTATTAACTCACACGATCTACAAATATTCCGACGCATTGATGTCTCCGTACTCCATACCGACAAGTTTTTACCAGCAGTGATTTGAACACAGGGGTTTTTAAGGCCTTAGGGTGTTCACCTCATTGTTTCATCAGTGGCGAAGTTGAACAAGAACGGAGAGTGCGCATATCATTGCCGGACGCCCACTTTTGTAAGGAAACTTCTGGAGAGTCCACCATACACTCTCACACGCCCAGGATTATGTGAATCTAGGGACCGGATTATGTTCACAGACTTCAGGGACATACCCTGTTGAGCAAGTGTGTTAACAACACTGACCGATCGACAGAATCTAACATACCCTTGAAGTGAAGGAATACCAATATTGTGGATCATCTGTACATGTGGCGTTGCTCTAACACCGAACGGAGTGTGGAGATGTGGTAGACGCAGCCTCTATCCGATGAGAATCCTGCATAACGCTCACGGGCCAAGGTTTCGCATGCCGCCGCAACGTTGTCAAGGGGCAAGCGACCACACCTGTCCTAACCACCAGCTTCAAGCGTAAGAAGACTGTACATCAAAACTCGATCCACTGACCAACGTGGTATGGGAAACTCTGCAGGTGTCAAGATGAAACCTACCCAGTATAACTCAGTGGGTCACGGACGTCCACAAACCATTACATAAAAACAAGGTCGTTTATTGAATTATCATCGAATGCGGCCGAGGTGCTTCTAAAAGCCAACTGGCCGATATGCCTCAAAATACTTCTGGTGTTCACAGAGTACTGGAGGCCAGACAATCAAACTCGGGCTCGTCACACCCACCCTCCGCCAAGATCGTTGGCCTCTGCACAGCCGCATCGTGAATGGGCCCTTAGACTTTAGCTAGGACAGTCGGGCCAGTGGATCAGGACCCTGAAGATTTAGGGTCTGTCCCAGTTGACACCACAGACAGGTTATTGAAGATACGTCGACTTCATTTCGGAACCTCAAGCGGTAGAACCTCCATCGGCTGGAAGTGAAACAGGAATGTGTACAGCTCTTGTATCCAGGGTGCTGAAACTCTATTTCATCGAACTAGCTTCACTCTTGTAACTCAGTTGGTCCGTTCAGTGGAGATTAAGGGATGCTGGTTACACATTCCTTGACCTGGAACTTCATATGGTAGCCGACAGGAACGTGAAGTCGGATTAGCAGTGGCCGATCATATGAATGGAATAGCATGAACCGAACTGCATGAGTATGAAGAGAAAAATATCTGGAAGGTTTCTCGCCGGTTTTGTTATTGTGTGCGCTCTCACGCTGTCTCATCCAGAAGCTGAGCAACAATCCTCCTGGTAGATGTCAACTGCCGTTGCATCCATTTGATTAACCGTTCGTCTAATCCTCATGGGTGATTCTATTTGTAGGATAGAATACATCGATGCTGCTTGGTTCTTTGAGCGAAAATATTGAAGCCGGCTATGTAGACTGGCTTTCGAGGTTCGAAAACAGACTTCGAGGTGTTTAGGGTTGTTAGTGAAATCGGGCGCACAGAAGCCGCAGCTGACCGA